AACTAGAAAGTTTAAATAAATAGTTTTCTAGTTAGGCTATAGATATAATAGCTAGTGTAAAATCTTAGAGTAGACTATTTAAATTAGATAACCAAAAGTTGTATATATAGCTAATTGTACTTTTATTACTAAAAATTATAACTTATCTACAAATCTAATAATAAATTGTCAACAAAGAGGTCACTTTAATAATAAAAAAAAAAAAAAAAAAAAGTTGCTATTCTTTATATAAACTACAATATTGTATTAAAAACTATAGATTTAAAACTAATATTTAAAGAGTTTATTAAGAATCTGTAAATAATTTTTTTAATTAAATTTTTTTTTAAATTTATTTGTTTTTAGCTTACAGTATAAGCAATACAAACCTTTTTCATATAATATAAAATCAAATACTATTATAATATAATCCTTATTTTTAAATATATATTATCAAAAAAATTTTTATTTAAATATTTTAAATTTTAAATAAAGTAAATCATAAACAAATTTATAAGAATTGCCTATAGCTTAAAGAATAATAAAACAAATAAAAATTTATTAGACAATACAAAATTAATTGTTTCTAAATATATGAATTTTAATAGTAACTCATTCACCCTGTTTTTTGAATTTTAACTATTTATAGTAAGTATATATAAAGTTTGTATCAAAAATTTACAAAACCAACCTGGTCTAGGTTGTAAAAAACAACTAATTAACTTTATATAACCTTGTTACTAATACTTATATTTTTATCCAACAAATTAGAGACTAGACTCGAGTCAACTTGTAGCTTAAAAAACATAGTTTTAACTCAAATTAACTCGAGTCAAGACTATGTTTTTTAAGCTATGAGTTGACTCAAGTCTAGTTTCTACAATGAATACATTATCATAACTGCAAATTATATGAACAACAGGTATAGAGATGAACAAAAAATTTCTATATACTATATATGTAATATAGTATTATTGTGGTTCAGGGACACTTTAAGAACACGGAACCCAGTGATTATCACATCACTAGTATTATAAAATTGGCCTAAACTATCCCATCACCTAACCCTAACCCTAACCCTAACTTAGGCCGAACACTTAATCATGTGACGTGATGATCACGAAAATATCACTGGGTTCCTTGTTTTTGAACCTACCCATAAGCACCTCCTAAGTATAGTTATATCGGATTTTTTTCAAGGTAAGTCTACTTTCTGTTTCTAAGTTATTCTCCAGACCAAGACGATTCTAACGGTGTAAAATCATCAAAAATGGTCCGATAGATCATTTGCAATTACTTCTCAAAGTTCTGGCGACATGTAAACAAACGTCGCCCGAACTTTGAAGATGAATTGTAAACGTTCTACCGGACCAATTTTGATGATTTTACCACCGTTAGAATAGTCTTGGCCAGGAGAATAGCTTTATTTACAAACAGAAGGGATTTACTTAGTACAAAAATCCCCTATAATTAATTCTTAAAATTATATCCGAAAATAAAGCATTCCTTATAACAAAAAAAGGGTGCTTAATTTCGGAACGGTACGGTATTTTGTAATTCCTTTCCTTTTAACGTCATATTTATGTCTTTTATCAGTATCTTTTAAATTTTGTTTTCAGTTGGGACCTGTTGAGAATCTCTGTATTTGTTGAGAAAAACTGGATAAATTTCACAAGCTTTTCAATGAGTTTGATCAAGATTAATGTGATATGCTTTGGTCGTATTAGCTTTGATTTTTACGATAAGATCATTCTCTAAAAAATAAATATTACGATTATAATCATTATTAATGTCGGACATTAAGCAATGACACCCCATGTTACAATTAATTTTTATTACCTGATTGACGACGTCCCATATATATGTTTCAATTTTAAATAAACAAAAGCAAAATTTAAAGAACTTCATAATAAGCTTTATAAAATTGCTAAATAACTTTTAAAATATTGCTTCTATAAAAAGTTGATGCTACTTTAAAGCTATAGACATCTAGCACCATGAAATCGGTAAAATCCTTAAAATCTCCAATTATCACATGATATCATTATTTGCAGAGGTCACATCTTTTTGCAAAGCACAATTACTATGTCCCATAAGGTCATTTATAAGGTCATTTTCAAGGCAAAAACCCAAATACTGTATTATCGAATTTTTAAATTTACGAGTCCAATAGATATCTATGAATCCAATACATATAAAATGTCAAAATTTCCATTACGGTAAACGTTTGAGCTTTTATAGCATACTATTTATAACTTAAGTTATTCTGTGATAAAATAACTTTTGTTATAAAGATTTTTCTGTTCTGTTGAATACTAGGTATAGCCAACCAAATGATTAGAATTTTAGAATTATAAAGGGAAAGTGCATGTGAAGTTGGGGTGCACGGTCAACTAAAATTAATTGTTGTATACTTCTTATGTGAGTGCCCAACCATTTTCATCCTTGTTATTGGTCATGTTGTTGACGATAACGATTATTCACTAGGATGCTGAGATATAACGGTGGCCAAGGGCCACCATTATGACGTTAATAACATGACCCCCAAAGGAAGTACAAGAAAAAAAAAAGTAGTGAAAAATCCCTTTGTGTTAACCATTGTAGCACGTGTGTCGCCCAAGACATAAGGGCCACGTCCTTTTGGTTCGAATATAGCACCGTCAGCCAGAGTAAAAATAGTGGTTCGCAGGTGGTCGGCAATGATATAATAATTTCCTTTTTGTTGATTGGCACTTCCCATTAATTTTATTTTTTTAGTTCTTTTTTTCTTCTCCATCTAACTGAAAAGGAGTAATCTATGATTACTTTTTTCTTAAAAGGAGTAATTTTTAATTGTTTCGTATCTTAAAAATATCATCATCTATTTTAATCTAAAAGAACATTAAGAAAAGAGATCAGCTGGTCAGATTTGACTGTGTAATTTGGGTTGTTCTTTTTGGTTCTTCCTCTTTTTAGTTTAGGAGCGAGAAACTTATTTATCAATAACAAGATATGGTTATCAAACTTTCCTTTTTTTAAATCAATAAGAGCATCAGGAAAAGCCGCAGCTCGGTCAAAAGTAAAAGTCTGAATGGACTCCTTCATATTTTTTCCTAGGTCTTTAACCAATTTAATTACTTTTTTTTCTTTCATTTCTCCTCTTTGGGCTTTTTCTACTAAGAGGGCTATCAGCGGATCCAAAGTAATATCTTTTATTGGTTTTTCTATTGTTTGGGGGGTGATATTATTTCATCAGTCATGTTTTTGCTGGATTTGTCGTCGACGGTTGGTTTCCTCAATAGCGCCGAGCATATTTTCCGTAATTTTGTCAGC